GTGGGGTGCCTTAATGACTAGCTATAATCTGATAAACTATGCCTCCTCGTGCAAATCAACCGTTTAAGCCACTTTTTGTTACTACAAGTTACTACAATATGCAAGGTATGTATATCACCTATTTGTGCCACACCACAATACAGAATCCTGTGCAACAATAAGACCAAAAATTCATGATTAATTTACACCAAAGACACCTCTGAAGCAAAAAGGATTTATTATACAGGTAGAACTTACTGAAAAAGTACTATTCATTAAGCAATAAATGGGACACCAAACTGAAAAGTTTAATATAAGAATAAAAGAAACAAATCCTTGCACTTTACTTGTATTTCAAAGTACACACATAAAAAGAGAGATGTTTTTTGGCTTTGTATCCTTTATAAATCAATTTGCATTTACAGTACAAAGAGCTGTATTTCAAATACTATTTGGTAATTCATATTCTGAAGATAGTTCTATCTTATTGCATATTTTCCAGAATCAGACATTAGGACTTAAAACTGTAGTATTTTGTAAATTAGCCTTTAGACTTCTTTCGCCACTCTAATAGCTTAGTTAGCAAGAGTAATGAGAATGAATATTTATTAACCATTACCAGCCTAGGCCGAGGGTCTTTCATGACAGGGAGTAAGATCTTGTACATCCATTCATGAACTTCAAAAAATAAGACTATTCTTTATGGAAAAGTTTATATAAGAACTCTTGTCAGAAGGGTGACTGGAGAATAGAGGAAGGTGTGAACATTGACTCAAGAGGCTGACCTACCATCATTAAAGCCACATAAATAGGATGCTAATTCAAACATATAAAAAAAGTTACATATTTTTAAAAAATTCTAACATAGGATATCATCCAAGTCAGGTAATATAATTATGGAAAAGACTTAGTGCCTAATTCCATGTTTTTTAGATATATTGCCCTTCCCATTATTTCTTTCCACCACTATATAGGAAAGGTCTTAGCACGATTCAGGTAGCAATATTTTTTTCCTGACAATTTGTCAGCTGTTTGAGGTAGCCCAGGCCAGATAATAGACTTATAGGGGCTATTTTGGGTACAATAACAAAATCTTGAGAAAGACTGACAGAGTTTCTCTCTTCCTTATTTTGTACTAAAAAGAATCAAGGTGGCTTAGTTTGAATTTCTTTATCATTCTTTCCTTTTTTTCACCGATAAGCTGGAGTTTACATAACTGCCTTTTCATTCCTCTTTCAAGGCAACCTTCATATTCTTCTCCTTTAAAAAATATTCTTTTATATTCCACCTTTTATTAGCTTTACAAATAATTCAAGGCAGCAGACACCTTCATTCTCCTTTTCCCCCATAACAACAACCTTGTAAGATAATTTGGGCTGAGAGAGTGAGGCCCAAAATCACCCCAGTAGCTTTCTAGGTTAAGGCAGAACTTGAACTCATGGTCTTTTACTTTTTAGCCTGGCGACTTAATCACTAGACCAAAAAAGCAAAATATTGGCATTTTTCTACGTCTACTCCTATCATATAAAAATACAGAGACTCCAGTGATAAGATTAAAATAAAAAGAAATAATTTGCAGCCTCTTTTCCCCTATATCGGTTACTCAAAACCAAAGCCTTAATAGCATTATTGTACAGTTTCATAAGTATTCCAGAACTAAACTTATTCCTTATAGAATATAAGTATAAGCAACAGTTCAGAAGATATATATTAAATCAAACCAAATCCTGGAAGCAGAGTTTTTCACCTTTTCCAAAACTTTCAAGATCTTAAACATGATCCCATGAAGATTTTTTAAAAGCACAACTCTTCTTAAAATAATTGTCAATATTATCTGATTCCCTCCCAATGTACATAGCCTATCACAACATTTTAAATAATTCTTGAAATGAAGACATGATAACTCTTTAATTTCTCAACATATAGATAGAGTTAACTATAGTTTCAACTGGGAAATTGTGACCACCTTAGACCAAGCCGAGATAATTCCTTGGAAGCCTGACACTCTGACAAATTTGCCATCAATAGACACATAGACATAAACAACATTTACATATTGTGCAAAAGAGTAACAACAGAGACCATCAAGAAACCAAAAAGGCAGGGGTGGGATCCAAATTTTTTAACAACCGGTTCTCTGGGTGTGGCTTAAGTGGTGGCATGGCTTGGTGGTCATGTGACTGGGTGGACATGGCTTGGTGGTCATGTTATTGGCTGGGTGTGGCCAACTCAGTATCACTCACATCGAGGCACGCATCTCCTCGCCTGGCCTCTCATGACTGTGGCGATGCTGCAACAGTCGTAAGTGTGAAAAATGGTCATAAGTCACTTTTTTCAGTGCCATTGTAACTTTGAATGGTCACTCCACACAAGCAAAGTACCAGCAAAGGAGAGGGAAAAAACTCCAGAGATGGTCCAGAGACAGGAAGTCTAGTCCTGCAAAGAATGTAATAAGGGTTAATGGAGAGGCAGTTTCTGTAAGCAACACCAGAATGTTTCCTTCCTGCCTTCTTTACAGGATTAGGTCAGTAATTTCTTCTAACAACTGGTTCTCTGAACTGCTTAGAATGTTAACTACCAGTTCTAGCGAATAGGTGCGAACTGGTAGAATCCCACCCCTGCAAAAAGGGAACAAAAAGACCAAAATACTAATTTGGGTAAAGAGACATCTGAAAAAAAACAACCAAGGTCAGAAAGCATCAAGGATTCCTCATTTCAATCCTGAGCTACAAATATTCTCCTTCAAAAAATCCCTGTCTATTACCTCATAATTTTTAGGCAAATACAATATCAGTTTGTTGATAATTCAAAGGAGCTGAACCCTAGCATGAGGCCAAGAAAACTGCAATTTAGTTTTAGCATCTTGAACACTTCCAGGTGACTGACAAAGCCATCAGAAGACAAAAAGCTGGGATTTAAAAATCAAGCTTAAGGAGATGTTAAATTTGATTAAAAATTCCAAAACTTTATGGTCTGCTAGTAAGGCAAGAGGTAAGAATACTTCATAGTCCAATGACCACAGTTACTCTAGTAATTAACAGTTACATGTGATAACTGTATATGGTAAATAACAACAGATCTAGAAGGAAGGAAGGAAGGAAGGAAGGAAGGATAGACAGATAGACAGACAGACAGACAGACAGATTGCTATTCTCATTTCCACCCTGCTGTACAAACTCAGCAGGCCTCTGGATACAGCAGTAGTCTGTTGAACCAGCAGTTTTTCTACCACTAAGTTAAAGGTAAAGGTTTCCCACACACATACGTGCTAGTTGTTTCTGGCTCTATGGGGAATTCTATGTAGAATTATCTGCCACTAGGCAGGTAGAATTATCTGCCCCAAAGCTACAACACTTAACCAAGTCTTTCTGCTTTTGATAATTTTTTCCTGTTGCATGAAAATATCTTTGTGATTACCAATCTCTTTCAGAATGGTATGTGAATTTACACACATCACTGTTTCACCTGTGTTTTAAATAATCAACCTCATTAACTTTAGTCATTAGTTTTCCCCATAAGAAGCCCCACGAGCACATTCATAAATAAATGTCCCTTTATAAAGCTGTAGAGCTGTAACAAAATTATGATTAGATTAATGAAAAGAGTTAATTTGGGTGTTTTATGTTTTTAAGTATGAATGTGGAGGGAGTCGTACCTGAGCTGCAGTTCATCGCTTCACAATCCTTTCTGAAACTGTATCCCCACTTTGGTTTCTATAGCAATGGTGACGCACAGGTTTCCTTCATGATGGGAACTTTAGTGCAGGCTCAAGGTGCAGAGTAAGTGGCCAGGCCCATTTTTTTAAGGAATCAAACGGGTTCCTAACTAAAGCTATGTAAAAGGATGATCAGCCTTTATCCCTTAAAAAAGCCAGACTTCTAAACAGCTGCAGTCAGTCATACTTAGAAGCTGAGAGGCATTTTAACTATGAATTGGACAGGTAGAATTTTACATGCTACCTATAGAGTGAATTTCTATCAGCCAGGGGGGGAAAAGGGACAAGTGTATTTGGAGAAATGAGATGTGCTCATTTTGGAGATGAATTAAATGTACAAGAGTCACAGAGAAAGATCAATAGAATATTTGGAGACTAAAGAAGCTAAAGTAAGACACCTCTAGGCAATACTTTAGATAACTAAATGTCTATTATGTCTGCAAATCTGACAAAACTATATAAGATGAACCAGCCGCATAAGAACTAAATACTATGAAAGGAAACAGAACCCGTGTTTGAAAATGACTTGGAAAACTTCCCAGAAAATAGGGACTATGTAAAACTCGAATCCAACACACCGTACTATGAACTAGAAACATTGCATAATTTGAAATAAAATTCTTGTTTTCCTATAGGGCAGATGCATGTCTAACTCTCATGAGAAAAGTCAAAAAATATATACAAGAAAGAAGTTATTTATAGATAGAGAAAATTTTGTGCCTGGGAGGGCAAGTGACTACAGTAACTGCAGGTAAATATGTTTTGGGGAAACATTTCCTAGTGAAAAGGAGCCAGGATTAAGAAAGAATGCCTTCCAGATATAGCTAAATCAAGACCAACAGGTTGTTTTAGTTAGATTACTATAGCCTTGAGAGGGTATTTTTTTTCTTTTTTCTTTTCTTTTTGCCCTTCCTCCCCACCCCACCAGGAAGGGACTCAAACAATATACTGATAACCAAGAAATAAACACTTTTTTTATTTCTGGAGTGTCCATCGACTTGGCATGATGAACATGCGGTGACAGAGAGATGCTTCACATCTCCAGTGAAGAGAGAACAGGACAGATGTTATCAACTGCTAACTGATGAGTAGCAGGTGTGCAATACGGGAGGGGCGCCTTTGCCGTCACACTGACTCCAGGAGTGGCCCTGGATGACTTTCACTCAAAGGGAAAGATTTATCTGAGTCAGAGAGTTAATTACACAACAGCAGCAACCAAATGAAGCAATAGTTTTTGGCACGGGGCTCAGGCCCACATGCGTTAAATTACGCACAAATCTGCAACAGCTCCAAGTAGGAGATTTACCTCAGGGAAGAACAAGACACTGTTGCCGCCATTTTCTCATCATTAGTTTCCAAAAAGTCGAGCTTCATTGCGGGAGGACAGGCATTGTTGTTTTTAAACAGTAACAATAATAATGTCACAATTCCCCAGCTTTGCTTTGCTTTTTTCCTTCCCTTTCTGTCCTTTCCTTTTCTTTTCTTTTTTTTTTGCTTTTCCTTTTCTTTAACAGCAAAGCAAAAATGGTGTTTTATTGCTTTTGAGCTAGTGAGGCTGCAATTTCAGAAAGGCAATTTAATGTTAACTATGGCACACAAAGTAATGGAACAGGCAAGGGCCATTCTCAATTATATTTCAGTGCAGGTGGGATTCAGGTAAATTACAAGTTAAGGTAGAAGGCAGGGAGAAAAAGCCAAAGTGAATTAAAGTTCTACCTTGGTGAAGATTCCAGCTGGTAGCCATACACATAATCACTCGTGTGGTTATTTCTCACACTCTAATTTGTGCGCTTCTTTTTAATTACCTATGTGCATTTTATTTCATGCATTTTAAAGTATTTTAAACCTTTTTTCTGACATTATTATATGGTGCAGTTGTATTCAACACTTTATGCAAAATCTTTAAAATGGCCAAATCACACGGAAATCAAGGACAGGCATTTACTATGATTGGTATCAAGGAAGAAGCAAGCATTGGGGTTAAAATGATAGGCAAAAATGTAAAAATGTGGTATTTTATAATACTTTTACATTAGTAAGGCAACTTAGTTCAAATGTATTTTTTGTATATGTATATTTCTTCCATCCTTGACAAATATATATCAAATAGACTGTGATTTGAGTGGTATAGTTTAGTAATGGCCAACCTTTTTGAGATCCTGTGCCCAAAAGGCAATATGCACGCTCCCCCCATGCCCCCTGCGCATGCAATTCCCCCCCCCGTTACCTGCACTATGCCTCACAGCTGATTTTTGGCCAGTTTGAGGCCTTTTTCAGCCTTCCAGAGGCTTGAAAAAAGCCTCTGCAGGCTTTGCAAGATGAATAATAGGCCCGTTTCGTCACTTCTGGTATTACAGGAAATGATGAAACGGGCCTATTATTTGGCCTGCAAAGCCTGCAGAGGCTTTTTTCAGGCCTCTGGGAGGCCAAAAAAGGCCTCAAACCAGCCAAAAAATCAGCTTTGGGGTGCACACATGCACAGTGAGGTAAGTTTGCCTGCGGCTTGCGTACCAACACAAATGGCTCCGCGTGCCACCTGTGGTATGCATGTCATAAGTTCACCATCACGGGTATAGTTGGGGAATTGACCACTGACATGGTCTTTATCACCATCATTCCAATAAATACCATAATCTGAAAGAATTCATCACAAATTCAGATGTCCCCGTTGTTTTTTTAATTTTAACTCCAGAGCAGAAATTTTTATTTCTTTCAGAAACCTGCGCTATTCATAGATTCATATACAGTGGTACCTCAGTGCTCATTGTTAATTGGTTCTGGGAGATGTGATGAGTATCAGAAACAATGAGTACCAAACAAATTTTTCCCATAAGGAATAATGTAGTGAGTCACAAGCCAGCCGACAGGACAAGTTTTAGCTTGTGGGTTGAGTACCAAACAAACAATGAGTACTGGGACAAAAATTTCACATCAAAATGTGTTAAGTACCACAACTTGATGAGTACCACTGTAAACCTTAGGACATACATCACAGTGCTTTGCCATTCCTTCTTTGTATGATGTTTTCTAAGAAGTCAGTTTCTTGTTAACTCCCTCCTGGCCTCTGTATGACTCCTTGCACCTCAAGTGCTCCTCATTTTTTTCTCCATTCACATCTAATATTCATTTGATGATTGGCTAGTTAACTTCCAAAGAGCTTGTAATCAAACAGAAGGGTAGAAGTAGAAAATGACCAAGAACAAACTCCTGGGAAGTTATTTCCTTGTCTTTCAGTGAGGTGTAAGATGAAAATTGAGCAAGGAGAGATGGTTTGCAGGACCAAGGTACTCAACTGCAATGAAGAAGAGATCTGTAAGTGAGGACTATGTTTGTGCCCATAGTTTGTGAATATGAACAACCACATTTCCAGCTAATTAAAGTGAGTAAAACATAGTTGCATGAATTTCAGAGTTGGAAGACAAAAAAAATGCTATAGAAGCCTCAAGAGCAATAAACCAAGTTTAACCCAATTGCAAGGCATGGATAATAGATCTTCTGGTCCTCTGGAAGTACTCATATTTAACACTTAAGAATTGTAATTAACATAATAATTATTGAAATAAATTAGTAAGGTTACAAAGCAAATACCCCCAGAAAGTATTATTACATGTTGACTGCCACTAAATATAAACTCTGTTCTTCCTTTCCTTTCCTTTCCTTTCCTTTCTCACTGTTCCTCTCTGTCCCTTTCTCCTCTAATATAGCTATAACATTGGTTGCTGAAGCTAAAAAGAAAATCTGAGAGGCATCCAATGAAGAGAAGGCTTGGGAATGACATGATAAAGAGTATAGATTTCCTCTGTCAATGTAAATCAAACCTTTATTCCAATCATAGAACAGCATACTAGTGAATATATGTCTCCATAATGAATTCTACTATTTAAAATAATAACAAGTATTAGATTATTTTAGACAATAGGCACTAGATATATTTACTGCTGCATAATACATGTATCAAACATAGAAAAATACCATGTCAATCAACAGCCTATGTTTAAATATTGGTTAATATACTAGGTTAATCTGTACAATAGTAGATGTCTTGTTTTTGTTTTAGATTTATGTGTGCGAAGGTATTTAAACAAGACATATCCTACTTGTAGTCTGAAATAATACTGTCAGAACTTTGCTATTTGAGGCCTGAGAAAACCACCTGAGTTCAGTGTTCACTTGAATTTACCCATCAGTTGTATTGGCCCATAGTTGGGCCTAAACTAGAAGTGTGAATATAGCTGTGCTTCAAAGTACAATATTACAAAGGATTTGTTTAGCTAATATGTACCAAATTTTCTAAAGGCAGTAATTTTAATAGAGTCATAATAACTCTTTGAAATAAAAATTATGACTCTTATGACTTCATAAAAAAAAATTTTTGACTGTGACAAAACCGTAATTTCTCTTCTGACACATGACTAACCCTAAGGCTAACCAACACAACAAATCATTCTTTTTGCAAGTTATCCAGCAACAGACTAGGAGTGCTTGAAATATGCACATTAATGAGTTATTTAACATAAAGTAATATATATCCACATAAATCACAACATTTGCAAAGTCAACAATATGGCATTGCTTCACACATTATGATCATCGCACTGTCTGCTTTTACCAGGGAAATCATATGGGAAATTTTTTTCCCTGACTCATTAGGAAATCATCAGGAGATCTCAAATGGCCACATAAACATATGTTTTCCTTCAACAGAAAATAAGAACACTATCACAATAGTTTCCTTTGAGACTTAAAACTCTTGCTTTACATACACCACCCACCCACCCACCCACACACACACACACACACGTATATTCCATATGGGCTTTCTTTAAATAGTCATCTTGCAAAATTAGTTGCCTTAAAGTAAGTATGTATTTTTAGCCATAATCAAGATGAGCAGTTACAGCCCCAAAACAATTTAAGCAAGGAAGAACTTCTGGAATGGAAGGAAAAATACATAATCCTAGCAATGGCTATTCTATCATTGTAGACCACTTGTTCTTTTACTTAATTTATATGCAACCAATCTCACTTGGCTCATTTCCTTAAAAGGAAAAAAACCAAAAGTCGTCCCTGCACTTCACCTTCCAACTCTTTATTCATTAAAGTTGTAACTATCCTTTCCTCCAGGAGCTTATTTTGTGTGTGTGTGTGTGTGTGTGTGTGTGTGTGTGTGTGTGTGTGTGTGTGTGTGTGTTCGAATACATTGCTGGAATGTATTTTGTGCAACAACTTGTACAGCCAACCAGTAGATGGCAGTGACTATAAGTCTGCATCTATGATATACTCTCTATGTCTTTTTGTTCTGAGAAGAGTTTCCTGTTTCCTGTTGCAGTTAAGCTGAAAGGCACGTGTGGAGTGTACACTTTGTTAGTTCTGTAGGGCTATATGCAGAATTTCTAACCATGTGTCATTCCTTAGACTTATTTTGCTCCATAAGAAACCCTTGAGATAAGTTGACTGAAAGAGAGAAAAATTGGCCCAGAGTCATCCAATCTAACTTCAATGGCTCTGAGGACTGACTTGGATCTAGGATTTCCTTATAGGTTTCCCATATTTAATCACTACACCATACTTTTTCATGTCTGCATTAGATTTCAACATTTAATAAAATCCTGTTACATTCTGTTTGAGTGAACTTTGTACTTAATGTTGGATACCTGGTTCCTTTGTCTAACACTATAATGCTATGTCTTATGCTACACTCTAATAGTCGTAAAAGACTGTAGAGTACATAGTTACATGTCAAAACTGTATAAAATAAACAAAAGATAAAACCACAACAGGAACAATTTCATTCAACAACTTTCCCTATTCATCTCATAAAAGACAATCTAACACAGCAGCAGGAACTACCCACCTACACAGCCTATTCACAGTAGACCTTTGGAGAAAAGCAAGAAGATGAATTTAAAGGCAATGACCACACACTCACATCCAAGTGCGCCAAAGAATCTTTGGATCTCTTGCATATTTTGTTTGGCACCAGCATTGCTTTGCTTACATTACCATGCTTTTCTACTAAGCGTTCTACATTTCTCTGGAAAACTTTGTCCCAAAGGTGCTTTTTCAAGAGGCAACTGGTTGCTTCTTGGAAAAGCACCTTTGGGACAGCCATGACCTGGATGACTAAGAATCTCCATAGACATCTGGAAAACTTTGTTTTCCATTTTATATATTTGAGATAATTTTTGCTTTATCTCTTAAATGGTTCTAGAGCCTCGTTTATGCAGTTGAAATCAGAAAGCCAGAGTATTTTCTAATAGGCAAATGGGAAAGATCAAAAACCCAATTGTGTTCTAGCAAGGATAAATTGGACATATGTTTAATATGAATCCTGTTTTCTATCAGACGTAGCACAACACCAACATCTCTTCCAG